CTAAACCCTAAACCCTAAACCCTAAACCCTAAACCCTAAACCCTAAACCCTAAACCCTAAACGCTGAACCTTAGGTCTCACGCCCCGAGGCAAGTCCCCGCTTTCCCAGGAAACAACAGTCTACGCACGTGGCGCCAGAGACCCTGCTGCTGCTGCTGCTGCTGCTGCTGCTGCTACGTGCTGCTGCTGCTGCTGCTGCTGCTGCTGCTGCTGCTGCTGAGTTTAAAGGACCTTGAGAGCAGCAAACAACTTCTTACATTCTCAATGTTGACAGAACAAACCACAGTGGCGGAGATGAGCGCCTCAGAGCCCAGCTGGTCCAAAGAAGTGCCCAGGGGGCCCCCCAGGGGGCCCCCCTGGGGGCCCCCCGGGGGGCCCCCCGGGGGGCCCCCCGGGGGGCCCCCAGTGCCCTCTGGACTTGGGTAAGGGTTGAAGACAAACTGCTGCTCTGCTTCTGTTATTGGGGGCACTGCGCGAGTCCGCAGGGGCTGCCACGTGCGCTGCTGCCGCTGCTGCTGCTGCTGCTGCTGCTGCTGCTGCTGCTGCTGCTGCTGCTGTTGAGACGGCTGCTCCGGAGGGGCGCCTTCTTGCGTTGCTGCTGCTGCTGCTGTGTCGGCTGCTATGTCTCCCTCCGTGCTTGCTGCTGCTGCTGCTGCTGCAGTTGCTGCTGCTGCTGCTCCTCTCTCTGCTGCGGGGGGGGCCCCTTCGGGGGGCGCTGCAGGGGCCTCCTTGGCAGGCGCTTTGCCCAGCAGCAGCTGCTGCGCAGTTGCTGCTGCTGCTGCTGCTGCTGCTTCTTGGGAAGGCTGAAATGCTGCTGCTCTGAATACGGAAAAAAGCAAATCTGGAGGCAGCAAAGGATTCGCCCGGAGATGCATCGCGTCGCAGAGCGCCACAGCCACTTCGTTAAGCCTGAGAGCCACAGCCCACGCACTGCAGCAAAAGCCGCACTGCAGCAGCAGCAGCAGCAGCAGCAGCAGCAGCAGCAGCGGCGACGGCCGCAATAGCAGCTGCAGAGGCAGCAACAAACAAGATAAGGCTGCTGCTGATGAGAAGCCGGCTGCTACTGGTGCTGCTGCTCAAGACTGGAGGCTGTCACGCGACCTAAGGACAGCAGCAGCAGCACAGGCACTACCAGCAGCAGCAGCAGCAGCAACACAAGTGCCACCGACAAAAGCACAGACGGAAAAAGTTAAAATGCTACAACACATAGGAGTAGTAGCCTCAGCGGCAGCAGCAGCAATGGTAGCCGCTGCTGCTGCTGCTGCAGCAAGACCTCGCTGGGCTGCTTACTCGTCATCCAGCAGCTGCTTCGCCACTGCTTCGTAGAAGAAGATCTTCAGAGGGTGTAGAGACACCGCAGAAGCTGCTGCCTGCTGCCCATTTGTCTCTGCTGCTGCTGCTGCTGCTGCTGCTGCTTCTCCAGCTTCAAAGTGGCGCTCGGCTGCCGCCGAGAAGGCGAAGTCTGAAACTTTGGGTCCGTTGAGCGCCGCAGCAGCAGCAGATCCGGATTCCTCTTTCATGCTGATCTCCATTTTGCAAAAAGGAAATAAATTTTGAATTAAATGCTTTTAAAAGGAAAGTTGTGCAGCGGGAGTGGGCGGGAAGCCCAGGAAGAAGATCCGAGCGGAAGGCGAGCCAGGAGCGCTTCTGCTTCTGCTGCTGCAGCTGCAGCTCCTGCTGCTGTTGCTGCTGTCAACGAAGCATAGTTCAAATATAAATAGTTATTTTTGACCAAAAGGCGGAGAAAATGAAAGAGAAGAGTCGGGAAAGGCTCGAGACTGAGACCCGCGGGCGGATCTGCCACATCCGTCGGCGCTGCGGTGCTGTTCAGATTTTCTGAACTTCCCGATTTCTCATTTTAAAATGGGAATTTGAATTCAAAATGCAAAAATTAAACACAAATTGCGAATATTTCAAATGTGCACAAACGGGGCTGGAGCAACAGAGCCCCGAAAAGCCCCAAAAGAAGAAAAAAAGAAATGACCGACGGAAGTGGTCGAAGACTGTTGCGCGTGAGCTCGGGTGTACGTACACCTCAGTTTTGCGCGTTCAAGAACTTTTCTGATGCCGAATTTCCGGAAATATGAATTAAAGGAGGGATTAAAAGGAATTTAAATTCAATTTCGAAGTTTTTTTTCCTGTTTGTGGTGTGGGGAGAGCTTTGGAGACGAAAATTCTTTTATTTTCCTCTTTTCTCTTCTCGCTTCCTCTCTGCACCAATCCGCCTTCAGAACTGCCCCGCAGCAGCAGACTTGCAGTTACTTTCCAACTGCTTCTGCACAAAAGAAGCAACAGAAAGAATCTCCAAATCAAAATAAAGAAAGATTACTTTAAATAAAGCTAAGCCGCTTTTTTTCTTGCTGCTGCTGCTGCTGCTGCAGCAAAGCAATCTACTTGCATTAAGCCGAGCTGCCAGCAGCTGAAAGAGGCTAAAGTTCGGCTCTAAGCATTAGAAATATGAATTTTAATTTACAAATGAATTAAACTCCATTTGAGTTTTAATTTTAAATGAATTAAATCCCTTTTTTTATTTCAAACTTCCTCACTTCTCTGCCCCCTTCTGCAGACTCCCCACAGAGCCAGCAGCACTATAAAAGCCCCCGAGATATTTAATTCTTTTTAATTGTTTTGCATGCGTTTATATTACTTTTTAAATGGTAATAATGCAGATTTATTAAAAGACATTAATGTCAATTTATTAAACAAATGCAGATCTGCATTCGTAGGGGCCATAAAGCTCAGCCTTTATACTAGGGTGCAGCGCAGCAGCAGCAGCAGCAGCAGCAGCGAAAACAGCAGCAGTAGCAGCAGCAACAGCGAAAACAGCAGCAGCCGAAATAGCAGCGGCAGCAGAGAATAACAGCGGCAGCCGAAGTAGCAACAGCAGCGAAAAACAGCAGCAGCCGATGTAGCAGCAGCAGCAGCAGCAGCAGCAAGAAACAGCAGCAACCGAAGTAGCAGCAGCAGCAGCAGCAGCAGCAAGAAACAGCAGCAACCGAAGTAGCAGCAGCAGCAGCAGCAAGAAACAGCAGTAGCCGAAGTAGCAGCAGCAGCAGCAAAAACGGCAGCAGCAGCAAAAGCAGCAGCAGCGAAAACAGCAGCAACTGCAGCAACTGCAGCACAGCCTGTTGGGAGCATTTGCAAGGCGTGGGGTGTACGTACACCGCACGAGCTCCCGTGAAGAATTAAAAGACTTTTCTTCAGCAGCAAATTTGGAGCTGCTGCTGAAAGAATTAAAAGACAAATTTGCTGCCAAAGCTTTTAAATTGAATTGCTGCTGCTGCAAGCGAATTTTGAAAAAGCAAAAGTACAATTTATGGGCAATTAAAAAGAGCTGCTGCTGCAGCAAGTGCTGCAGCAAGTGCTGCAGCAAGTGCTGCAGCAAGTGCTGCAGCAAGTGCTGCAGCATGAGCCATGCATATCTATTTTAAAGAAGAACACATATATATAATGCATTTATAATTATATTATCCTTATAAGTATATATATGCTGCTGCTGCAGCTGTTGCAGCGCTGCGCTGCAGCAGCGCAGCTGCAGCAAAAGGGAGCAGACAGCAGCAGAGGTCTCAGTGGTGTCGACTTTTCGATTTATTTTAATTTGAATGGCAAAATAGCAGCAGCAAATGCAATTAGAAGTGAATTGGAGTTTCGAAGATCTGCTGCAGAGGCGAAGACCGCTGCAGCAGAAAGCTGGATATGCCTGTCCGCTGCTGTTGCTGCTGCTGCTGCGGGCAGAAGCTGCAAAGGCGAGGAATTTCCGAGTTGTTGGGAAAAAAAAAGGATTTTATTGAATTAAAAAGTAAATTTGCGGCAGTAAAGGGAAAAGAAGAAGAAGAAAGGGAGTTTTGGGAAGTTTCAAGAGGTGTTCAGAATAGACTGGTGAGGTGTCGGCTCCGGCGCGGAACTGAGTGGAACCTGCGTCTGTTTTGCTGCTGCTTTCTTTAAACCGAAGTTAAAAGTTAAAACGAATTAAATAAAAGGCGCAGTGCAAATATTTCGAGCAAAAGTGGGGCCGGCAGCTTTCCGGAAGGCGGGAAGCGCGGTGGCCATTGCCAGTGGAGTGTCTGTAAACCGCAGCCGCCGCGGCGGCGCTCGCGCGGCGGCTGCGGGCTCACTTTTGCGGATTTTGGAGGAACTTGGAGGCGAAAAAAGCGTTGAATGGAAAATAAAAGAAGTTTGGGAGCTTTGAAGAGGGAAAGCTTCGCCGGAGGGCCACCATGCGCGGCCAGAACTTGCGCTGCCGACGCGCCGCCTAGCTCCGCAGCCACCGCAGCAGCAGCAGCAGCAGCACTTGTGCTTTTTCCGCGCTTTCTGCTGCAGCAAACCCACAATGGCGCACAGCCAAACCGACTTGGACGAAAAATGGTTTCCGAGGGCCATTTTGCCCAAAGGCGAGCCCAAGTTGCGCGTCTTTTGCTTCCCCGGCGCCGGTGAGCGTCTTCGCCCAATTCCGCCTCCACAGCAAAGCTCCCCTCAGCCTGCTGCCCCTCCTGCTGCTGCTGCTGCAGCAGCAGCAGCAGCAGCAGCAGCAGCGCAGTTCCCCTCAGCCTGCTGCCGCCGCCGCTGCTGCTGCTGCAGCAGCAGCAGCAGCAGCTGCAGCTGCTGCTGCTGCCGCCGCCGCTGCTGCTGCAGCTGCAGCAGCAGCGCAGTTCCCCTCAGCCTGCTGCTGCCGCTGCTGCTGCTGCTGCTGCTGCTGCTGCAGGGATGGAGGCCTCGATATGGACGAGCACTGGGACCAGCCTGTCTCCAATGCCGAATCCTCTTTGCGACTTTGCGCAAAAAGAAGGAATTGCTTTTCTCGGAGTGCAGCTGCCCTTCCGCGGCCTTCGCCGCAGAGAGCCGCACCCGAAGCGCATGCAAGTTGCTGCGCGCCAGGCCCTCGACGCCATGCGCCCCCTGGTGCTGCTGCTGCTGCTGCTGCTGCTGCTGCTGCTGCTGCTGCTGCTGCTGCTGCTGCTGCAATGCTGCTGCTGCTGCTGCAATGCTGCTGCTGCTGCAATGCTGCTGCTGCTGCTGCTGCTGCTGCTGCTGCTGCAGCAGGGGGCGCGCGTGTGGAGTGGGTGCTGCTGCAGATCTCGAAGGGCTGCTGCCCCTACGTGCTGGTGGGCTACTCCATGGGCTGCTGGCTGGCCTACGAAGTTTTGTGTCTGGCGCAGCAGCAGCAGCTGCTGCTGCCGCAGCACTTCCTTGCTGCAGCAATGGTCAGCCCCGACCTGCCGCCCCACAGCCGCCCCTGGCGGCCCACGGCTTCCCTGGACACCCCCGCCTTCCAGGTGCGCTGCGGTGTACGTACACCTCCCGCTGCTGCTGCTGCGGTGTACGTACACCTCCCGCTGCTGCTGCTGGGGTGTACGTGCAGCTCCCGCTGCTGCTGCTGCGGTGTACGTACACCTCCCGCTGCTGCTGCTGGGGTGTACGTACACCTCCCGCTGCTGCTGCTGCGGTGTACGTACAGCTCCCGCTGCTGCTGCTAGGTGTATGTACACCTCGCGCTGCTGCTGCTGCTGGGGTGTACGTACACCTCGCGCTGCTGCTGCTGGGGTGTACGTACACCTCGCGCTGCTGCTGCTGCTGGGTGTACGTGCACTCCCGCTGCTGCTGCTGCTGGGGTGTACGTACACTCGCGCTGCTGCTGCTGCTGCTGCTGCTGCTGCTGCTGCTGCTGGGTGTGTGCAGCAGCAGCTGCGGGAGTGGAGCTGCAACGAAGTGCTTTTTCAAAAAGACATGTGGGAGGCCTACGAGCCGCTGCTGCGCGCAGACCACAGCATGCTGGACGCGTACAGGCCCACGGACGCGGGGGGCCCCCTGGGTGCGTCTTGCTGCTGCTGCTGCTGCTGCTGCTGCTGCTGCTGCTGCTGCTGCTGCTGCTGGGCGGCAGCAGGAAGCTGCTGCGCACTGTTTGTTTTTGCTGCAGAGGTCCCCTGCTCCGTCTTCCGAGGCAGCAGAGACCTGCAGCTCGCTGACGACTCCCTTTTCGAGGGCTGGTTCCGCCTGCTGCGAAGCAAACCAGCAGCAGCAGCAGCAGCAGCAGCAGCAGCAGCAGCAGCAGCAGCAGGCCCCCGAGTCCAAATCCTAGACGGCGACCACGGCCTCGTCTTCGACCCCAACGGCCGCAAAAACTTCTTCAACAAAATCGTTGAAGTCCTCGACGGCGTGCTGCTCGCCATAGAGTACGGGCAGTGACCAACGGCCCAGCAGCAGCAGCAGCAGCAGCAGCAGCAGCAGCAGCAGCAGCAGCAGCAGCGGGAGCCGCAGGTGAAGGCGCGCAGCAGCAGCTGCTGCTGCTGCAGCAGCACTTCATAGAGCCGCTGCACGAGCAGCAGTTCATAGGGCTGCAGCAGCAGCTGCTGCTGCAGCAGCGTTAGTTCATAGAGCTGCAGCAGCAGCAGCAGCAGCAGTTCGCAGAGCTGCTGCTGCTGCTGCTGCGGTGGGAAATGCAGTGAAGAGACCCAGGTGGGGTCTTGCTTTTTATTTCTCCGACCCGAACTGATCTCCGACTTTTTGTGAATTTATTTCCAAAGTGGAAATAAAAAAGAATTTATTTCGGAAAAGATGAATTAATTCCAATTAATTCATCTTTCCAAAATAAATTCATCTTTTCTTCTTTTCCAAAATAAATTCATCTTTTCCAAAGTGGAAATTCTTTTTAATTCCAATTCATCTTTTCCAAAATAAATTCATCTTTTCTTCTTTTCCAAAATAAATTCATCTTTCTTCTTTTCCAAAATAAATTCAACTTTTCCAAAATAAATGGAGTTTCCTTTTAATTCCAATTAATTCAACTTTTCCAAAATAAATTCATCTTTTCGAAATGGAAATTCTTTTTCTGCAATCAATTCATCTTTTCTAAAATGAATTCATCTTTTCCTCTTTTCCAAAACAAATGGAATTTCCTCTTAATTCCAATTAATTCATCTTTTCCAAAATAAATTCATCTTTTCATCTTTTCTCAAATAAACGCATCTTTTCCAAAGTGGAAATTCTTTTTAATTCCAATTAATTCGTCTTTTCCAAAATAAATTCATCTTTTCTAAATGGAAATTCTTTTTAACTGCAATTAATTCATCTCTTCTGAAATGAACTCATCTTTTCAAAAATAAATGGAAATTCTTTTTAATTCCAATTAATTCATCTTTTCCAAAATAAATTCATCTTTTCGAAATGGAAATTCTTTTAAATTAAAAATAAATTCATCTTTTCTTCAATGTAAATCCTCTTTAAATAAATAATTAATTCATCTTCTCCAAAGTGGAGATTCTTTTGGATTTAAATGAATTCATCTTTTCTTTGAAAATCAAATCATCTTTAACTTTAAATGCAAATTCTTTTAATTAAAATAAAATTCTTCTTTTCTGAAGTGTCAATTCCCTTTTTTATTTAATTGAATTCATCTTTCCTCAAATGCAAATTCCTTTTAAACAAATTCATTTTTTCTTAAATGCAAAATGTTTTCTAAATTAAAAATAAATTCATTTTAAATGCAAATTCTTCAAATAAAATAAATTCATCATCTGCAAAGTGTAAGTGTAACTTCCCTTCAATTAAAAATAAATTCATCTTTGCTCAAATATAATTCTTTTTCAAATTGTAAATTCTTTTTCAAATTAAAAAGAATTTATTTATCTTTTTAAAGTGCGAATTCTTTTTTGAATTAAAATAAATTCCTCTTCAAATTTGCTGCGCTTTCCGCCCCGCTGCTGCAGCACGGAGCTGCTGCGAAGTGCAACTTTGAATGCAATAAAATCAAAATGTCTTAAAATAAAATTACAACTAAATAAAAACAATAAATAAAACTAAACTAAACCGGCTAAGTTCAGCTAGCCTCGCAGCTCCCTGTGCAGCTCTTCTCATTTGCTTTCCCGCTGCAAAGGCCTACAGCAGCAGCAGCAGCAGCAGCAGCAGCAGCGACAGCAGCAGCAGCAGCAGCTCGCGGTGAAGCACAAAATGATTTGAGTTCGGCAGGCAAAACGAGCTGCCTCTGAACCGTCAGCAGCAGCAGCAGGAACCCGTGCTGCTTCGCAAACCCCTGCAAGTCTCGCCCGCCCGGGCGCCCCCTGCTGCAGCAGCAGCAGCAGCAGCAGCAGCTGCTGCTGCTGCTGCTGCAGCTGCTGCTGCGGTCAGAGTCCTGCGTTTTTCTTGAGTTTGAGCTGGCGGTCCTCGAAGATGGTGAGGCGAATGCCCTTGTCCTTGGGCAGCGCGACCACGGGCTTCTCGCCGCGGCCAATGACGAAAACGTTGCCAATTCGCGTGGCGAATTCGTTGCCGCGGGCGTCTCGCAAATGCACAACGTCGAAACTGCCTAAGTGCCGCTCGCGGCTGACGATCGAGCCCACGCGGCCGACGTTGTGGCCGCCGGTCACCATCGCCACGTTGCCCACTTCGAACTTGTACGTGTCCAGAATCTGCGCACAAACGCGCCACTTCAAGCTGAAACTCGCAAATTAAATCCAATTTACCTTTTTATTCCCACTTGCTAATTTCCAGCGGCAGAAAACGGCGCTTTCCAACGCTTTCGCCGCTTTCCGCGGAAACCGAAGGCGCGCCCGGGTGTACAGACACCCAAGCAAGCCGCAGGGGTCCACGGAAAGCAAAACAGCGGAAAGCCGAATTAAAATGTGGAAAGTCGAATTAAAATGAGTGGAAAGTCGAATTAAAATGTGGAAAGTTGAATTAAAATGTGGAAAGTTGAATTGAAAAGAGTGGGAAATTGAATTAAAAAGAGTGGAAAGTTGAATTAAAGCGGCAAGTTGGCAGCAAGCAAACAAGACCGAACTTGAACTAAAAAAGTGTCTTTAAAAGCGGAAAACTTGAATAAAAGACAGAAAGCAAACAAAACCCGAACTTGAACGAAAACCAAATCAAACAAAACCCAAACTTGAACAAAAACAAAAGCAAACAAGCCCAAACTTGAACAAAAACAAAAGCAAAAAAGCCCAAACTTGAACAAAGAAGCAAAGCTGGCGGACCTTGGAGTCCGCAATGTAAAACAAAACCCAAACTTGAACAAAAAAAGCCCAAACTTGGACAAAAACAAATCAAAAAAGCCCAAACTTGAACAAAAACAAAGCCCAAACTTGGACAAAACTTGAACAAAAAACCAAATCAAAAAAACCCAAACTTGAACAAAAAAACAAAAAGAAAATCAAAAAAGCCCGACCTTGGAGTCTGCGATGTAAAACAAAACCCGAACTTGAACAAAAAAGCCCAAACTTGGACAAAAACAAATCAAAAAAACCCAAACTTGAACAAAAAAACAAAAAGAAAAGCAAAGTTGGCGGACCTTGGAGTCTGCAATGTAAAACAAAACCCAAACTTGGACAAAAACAAATCAAAAAAGCCCAAACTTGAACAAAAAAACAAAATAAAAAAGCCCAAACTTGGACAAAAACAAATCAAAAAAGCCCAAACTTGAACAAAAACAAATCAAAAAAGCCCAAACTTGGACAAAAACAAATCAAAAAAGCCCAAACTTGGACAAAAACAAATCAAAAAAGCCCGAACTTGGACAAAAACAAATCAAAAAAGCCCAAACTTGGACAAAAACAAATCAAAAAAGCCCGAACTTGAACAAAAAAACAAAATAAAAAGCAAATAAAACAAAGTCCGACCTTGGAGTCCGCGATGTTGAGGCGAACAGTGTCGTGGACTTTAATTTCCGGATGCGGAAATCGCAAAGTCCGGCCGTCGTGGGTGACCAACATCGGCACCGCCTTCGGCCCCACCAGCACTTTCTTAACTCTGCAAAGTTTGAAGGCCGCCTGCAAAAAGAAATAAAATAAAATAAAAAAAAATAAAATAAAATAAAATAAAATAAAACTTCTTGAAGTACAGCAAAAAGAAAGAAAGATAATCCTTTTTTATTCAAGTCCAGCAAAAAGAAAGAAAGATAATTCTTTTTTAAGTCCTGCAAAAAGAAAAAAAAATAATTCTTTTTTAAGTCCAGCAAAAAGAAAGAAAGATAATTCTTTTTTATTCAAGAGTTCGCAGTATTTGAAGTAAGTTTGCTTTTCAAAGAACAAGTCAGAAATATAATTCATTTCTTTAAGTCCAGAGTTTGCAGTGTTAGCCATAAAATAAGTTTTGTTTTTGAAAGAACGTAAGTGCGAAAAGATAATGCATTTATTCAACAGTTTGTAGTGGGAATTGAGAAGCAGGAAGTTATAAAATAAGTTTGTTCTTGAAAGAAAATAACAATTAATTATAAAGCAAAAAGTCCCAACTAAATGGTTTTATTTAAAAGAAAAGAATAATTAATCATAAACCAAAAAGTCCCAACTAAATGCTTTTATTTTAAAGAAAAGAATAATTAATTATAAAGCAAAAAGTCCCAACCAAATGGTCTTATTTAAAAGAAAAAAATAATTAATTATAAAACAGGAAATTGTTTAAAGAACATAAAAACATAAGAACAGCTTCTCGCCATAACGGGCCAACTAATCATAAGACACTAAACTAAACTAATTACTATTTACAAGAATAATAAACTAAACTAATTATTATTTACAAGAATACTAAACTAAACTAATTATTATTTATAATACTAAACTAAACTAATTATTATTTAGTTCTTATTATTTGATTTGATTAATAATAAATGTTCTTATGATTTGATTTGATTAATAATAAATATTATGATTTGTAAACTAATTATTATTCATAAGAATACTAAACTAAACTAATTATTATTTACAAGAATACTAAACTAAACTAATTATTATTTATAATACTAAACTAAACTAATTATTATTTA